AGGACCCAGCAACTGCATGCCTGGATTTATATTCCAAATAGCTGAAAGCAGAGGGTGGCTCAGGCCTGTAGTCCCTGCATTGCCAGAGGTGCAAGTGGGACGCTCCCTTGAGGCTGGGAGTTCAAGAACTGAAAACGGATTGTCGAACACCTTTGCACACCCGTGTTCACCGCAGTGTTATTCATGATCATCCAGAAATGGGGCAACCCCATCTATGGACAGCTGAATAGATGAGCACACTGGGGACAGAAAGTGGAATATTACTCAGCTCTAAGAGGAAAGTGATTTTGACACAGGTACAACATAAATGGACTCAGAGGGCTTTGTGCTATGTGAAATAAACCCACTGTAAAAAGAGAAACATTGTCACCATCCCACTTACACCAGGTCCCTGGAGCAGGCAAGTTGATAGAGACAGAAATTAGAATGGGGGACGCCAAGGGACGGGGGTAGTTAGTGTTCAGAGGAGTTTGTGTCTGGGGTGATGAAACAGTTCCTGAGAGGGGCAGTGATGGGTGAAGCAACGTCAGCGTGCTAAATGCCACTGGACCCTGCACTTAAAAATGCTTAAAATGGTAAATTGTATGTTACGTATATTCTACAATTTAGAAAAGTAATTTAAAAAACACAAAAGAAAACAACAATTAACGACATCCAAACTCCGTATGTGTGTGTGTGATGAGTCCTGCTGATACAGGACAGGTGGCACCCCAGATGTCTCCGGTACGAACCAGTCACACTGCTCTGAAGAGGACCTGTCACCTCCACCTTGGTGGTGTTGGTGCTGCCGCCGGCAGAGGAACCAGCAGGCGGGAGCATAGTCGGGGGGGGGGGGCTTCCCACCTCCACCCCCACCCCCACCAAAGGCTCCAATAGCCAAAGGGGGCCCGGCAACTGCTGGGGAGACACGGGCGCCTTGGTGTCTCTATCCCTATGCACTTATGACTGAATAGGAACCCCAATTTCCTATGCCTAGGTCAATTTCATGTAAGTTTCCTAGGCCTCAATTCCCTGAATGGACTGTGTCCATTCATTAACCTTGCTAAAGAGACTGTGTCCATTCATTAACCTTGCTAAAGAGACTGTGTCCATTCATTAACCTTACTAAAGAGACTGTGTCCATTCATTAATACATTCATTCACCTTGGCCAGCAGAAGAAACTGTTATCTATTCATTTCCTGGCCTCATATTTAAGGTACCCATGCACCTATATATACCCCTAGACAAAGAGAGGGGGGGGGGGGAGAAACAGAGAGAACTTTTCTCTCCCAACTTGGGTTTTCTCTCCCTACAAGGAACTTTAGTGTTTTCGTATTCTTTTCTGTAAATAAATCCTGTCTTATCACTGATCTGTGGTCCGTGGATTTATTCTTCAAATCACCGAGACCAAGAACCTGAAACTCCGGTATCAGATTTGGCGAGCCAGTTAGGAAAGAAGACGAAATTCCGGCATCACTGCTGAATTTGGAGAACAGCCCCCCAGCCCATCCCACCCCTGACCCCACAGAGCTGGGGGGTCCCTCCCCTGTCTTTCTGCTTTCCTTGGTAGAGTCCTAGCACCTGCTCACTGTGGCACAGGGATGTCTCTGGTACGAACCAGTCACACTGCTCTGAAGTTTGCACAGTCATAAGTCTGCATGTTAGCAAGCAGGTGAGGACACTGTTGGGTGAGCCTCCCAGGCGGGATCTCAGAGAGGCTCAGGGTCAACACTAGTGGTGAGACTGTGATTCCAAGGTGACCTGTGAACCACGAGGCAGGCCTGACCCAGGCGGAATGGAAGAGAACCACGGCCATGCCCTGTGCCTCTTTGCCGGCTTGTCCTGGCGATGGGGCCATTCACTGTTTATGGTGAACATGTTTTGCTCTGTAAACTGGTATAATGCTGTCACCTTCCTTTCTCTTCCTTGGTAAACATTCCATGCTTGCCCTCCTTTGGGGTGTCTGGTCATTTTTAGACCAAGAGCACCCTGATATTTTAGGAGGGTGGTTCCAGACCCAGCTCTTGCAGGAGCCCTCAGAGTCTCCCACTCCTTGACAACCACCTACCTTCCTGCTCACACATGCGTTTCTGTGTCTTTTGAAGACCTTGCTGATGTTCACAGGGCCGGTGCAAGAGCAGACCTATAGTCATGAGAAGGCATAGGAAGGTGTCTCCAAAAATCTGAAGAAAACAGAACTGCAGATGTCAAGATACTGGTCCTTTGACAAATATTTTAAAATAACCGTGGTTGAGGTGTGATCAAAAACGGGAGGGGGGGGCAGTAAGAAGGGACCTACAGATGCAGCATTTCACAGCTAATCAGAACTTACAAGAAGAATCACAAAAACATCCTGACACTGCAGATGGATTTATGGCAGATAGACAGGAAAGGCCATCAGAGACAGACCGATAGAAAACATTCCAACAGGCACAGAAATAGTTATGGGCAGAGAACGGAAGCACAGCAGTGAGAAGCCCCTGCGTGTGCTGCATCCACTCAGGCCCACCTGCATGGCCTCCGGGCACCCTGGAGGCCAACAGAACGAGACCCAACAAGCAGGTGCTCTCATGGCCTGCTGCACCACCAGTCACAAGTCCTTTGTCTCTGGCCCAGGAATCTCATGTCCTCTGTCAGTGTCTGAGTCATAGTAATAGACCAGCTTGTGTAAAACCCAACCCCAGACCTAACACCACTCTGAGGTGTAAATATGCTTCCCTGTCCCACTGACATCCGTCGTGACCCTGTGAGGAGCTGAAAGGGCCAGGCATGGTTTCTGCTTTTCCTCCTGGTGTCAGAGTGGCAAGTTCCAGAGCTACAGCCTCCCTCAGCTGGGACCCAGAATGTGAAGACTGGAAGAGCAAAACCAGGCCACAGTCAACATGAAGCACGAGCAGGGGCTGAAACTGACTGCTGTGATCAGCTGAGGCTTGGGGATTATTATCACAGCACACCCTAGCAAAAGCTGACAACCGTGCCTATGAAAGTTTATATGCAGATGAAAGGAGCTTAATCCACTTAAGACATTTGAACTTTTCTTTATGTACATTATACTGGAGTAAAAGGTAAACACAGCTGTTTACTTTTATGTGTGCCGTACATGGACGGGATTTAAAGAAGATGAGACGACGCCACCCAAAATACGTCAGTCTGCCACATCGACCATTTTGAATTAAAGGTACTTAAAAAAAATAGTAGGTACAAGAAGATCATCTGACCTCATTCCTGCTTCTTTAAAAAAATTTTTTTTAGACAGTCTCACTCTGTGGCCCTGGGCAGAGTGCCGTGGCATCATCATAGCTCACAGCAATCTCAAACTCTTGGGCTTGAGCGAGCTCCTGCCTCAGCCTCAGGAGTAGCTGGGACTACAGGTGCCACCACAATGCCCGGCTAGTTTTTTCTATTTTTAGTAGAGACGAGGTCTCGTTCTTGCTCAGGTTAGTGTAGAATTCCTGAGCTCAAGTGAGCCGCCTGCCTCGGCCTCCCAAAGGGGTGGGCTCACAGGCGTGAGCCACCACGCCCCGCACCTTCCTGCTTCTTAAAAGTGGAAGATGAAATTTCCATGTGAAAGTCATCCTCCCTATACGAGAAAGACCCTTAGCCCCAAACATGAGACGTTAAGACTGAGTTCTCTACCGCCTTGTTAAAGCAACTTTTATCTGTTTAGCTTCCTCACATAAGTTAGAGGCTTCATCTAACCTTAATATTCTTTGTCAATCTACCAGATAGGTAGCTGGCTCTAATTGCTTCTTCAGCTGCCATTTCCTCGAGAGGGCTCCCGCACCACGCAACACTTGCATTAAATAAATCCGTACACTTTTTTCCTGTTCATCTGTCTTACACTGATTTAATTCTGGCTCCCAGCGGGGACTCCAAGAGATTGGAGATGAGGCTTTGCTGCCCCTGCACACAGACAGGTGAGCTTACGCACCTCTGCCGCTACGGTATTGGGGTTTCTCTGCCTCCCGGGTCCTCCTGCGCACTGCTTCCCGGGAGGCTGGGGGGAGACACTGGACAGGCGCCCTCGACCCCGCTCTCTGGCTGGCAGGGTTTCTCTGACGTTGGCTCCCAAGGAACCCCCTCCGCAGGCCCCGCTGTGCCCCCGGGGCTGCACTCCCGGGTTTTTCGAAGGCGCAACATCCCCAGCTCGGCGAGGGATTTCCAACGCCCTTCCGCTGCCCGCCCCCCTTTGCTCCTCTTGCCGTCTGCCGAGGAAATGACTTCCTTCTCCTGCCTTGAACCCTCAGCCACCACCATCCCCTCCTCCCGGCCGAGGGAGCAGCACGCTCTGGGCCTCTGCGTCCTTGGGGTGTCGCGGGGCCCTTCCGTGGGGGGTCCCGCCCTCTGCGTCAAGCGCAGTAACTCTCGGCTTGGTGAGGAGCAGGCAAGGAAACGTGCATCCCGTTTACCTCTGGGTCACCTCACCCCAAAGTTCGCAGGGTAAAAGCTTCTACGCGACTGGCACGAAAAGAACATAACTGTGTGGTTAAAGACCACGCGGATGTGCAACCGAGACAGCAGCTGCGTTCGCGCGGGGCCGTCGGGCAAAGCCAAGCCCTGAGGCTCACCCACTCCCGGCCCGTGGCCTCGCAGCCCCTACTTCTCGCGACATTTGTCCTCACGCTTGACTCCGTTAGAACCCTCAAGAAATCTCCGCTCTAGCCCCGCCCTGTCCCTCCCGGAGCCCGGCTCCGAGCCCCTCCTGGCGCCCCGTCCCCTCACAGTCCAGCGCCCGCGCACCTGCTCCCTGGGCCGCGCTACTCTGCTCAGGCGCGCTGCCTCCTGCGCCATTGGTCGACTGGCTTCGCGTAATGCAAATAAGTGACCTGTTTGGTCCTAGCCTCAGGCGTGGGACCCGCCTCTTGGGGGCGGGTCAGGGACACGGCGCCCCGTACGGGGCGGGGGCCTCGGGCGAGAAAGGCCTAGGCCCGGGGGCGGGGCCGGGCCTGGCTAGGGCGGAGGGGCGGATCTAGCGGCCAAATGGGACGGGGCCCGGAGGGGGGCAGGGCTCGGGCGGAGCGGAGCCGGGAGCCTGCAGCCGGGAGCCGGGAGCGGGGAACCGGGAGCAGTTATGAGCGCGGTGGACCTTGGCCGCGTGGGCGCCTGTGTCCTGAAGCATGCGGTGACCGGGGAGGTGAGGCCGTGAGGGCGCAGTGTGGTCGGTGGGCGCGCCGCTGACATCTGTCCTGGAGCCCTCCCTTACAGCTCCATCCCGAGCTGGGGCTGGGGTCCTGGACAGAAGGCTCGGAGTGAATGGTGCTGGCTGCGGGGTCTGGGCGAGCGAAGCATGGGATGGGGTGGTGTTGGGGGCGCGGGGAGCTGGCGGGGTCGCCCCCGGCCTCCTGACTCGGCCGCCTGGCAGGCCGTGGAACTGCGGAGCCTGTGGCGGGACCAGGCGTGCGTAGTGGCTGGCCTGCGGCGCTTCGGCTGCGTGGTGTGTCGCTGGATCGCCCGAGACCTAAGCAGCCTTAGGGCGCTCCTGGACCAGCATGGCGTGCGCCTGGTGGGCGTGGGGCCCGAGACCCTGGGCCTGCAAGAGTTTCTGGACGGAGGCTACTTCACGGGAGGTGCCTCCACACCCCCATCATCTATCCCTACTGTCTGGGAGACCCTTCCCCAAATTCAGAGCATGCAGCATCCCCGTTTCTCCAGCCCTGGCACTTCTCTGAGAGTGGCCTTGATGTGCTCATAGGTCATTGGCCCTCATTTCTTCCCTGCCTCCCTGTGCCCCAGCTGGCAGCCATTGTGTGCCCTGCAGGGCCTGGACCCAGGGGCAGAGTCTGGGCAAGTTCTGTCCCTCCCTTCCCACCTGTTACCTTTGGATCTCAGCCCCTTTTCTGAACAGAGATTCAGCCCTGCTCTCCTTTGCCAGCCCTGGGTGGGTTGGATGCAGGAGGGTGAGCCTGGGTGGCAGGTAGGGTTGGGGCCTAGGCCAGGGCACGCACCTGTGGCTTCTGCTTTCCAGAGCTTTACCTGGATGAGAGCAAGCAAGTATATAAGGAGCTCGGCTTCAAACGGTGAGTGAATGTCGGCACCCATGAGGGTGGCATGGGGCTGAGGGGTAGAGTCCACTCAAGCTGGCAGAGGGGCTCAGGGGGCATTCCCTCCCTCCCTGCCGCCCTCTGCTTTGCTGTCCACTCAGGCCTGCCCAGGCAGGTCAGTTTTGGCTGCCTAGACAGCTCTGGCCCGCTTTCTGCTGGGTTTTCCCTGGGGTGTCAGGTGCCTGTAATGAGGCTTCTCACCCAGGGCCCACTCTACCAGCAGGGCTGGAGCCTGGTGCCATAGCAAGGGCCATGCCAGCCTTCAGGTGCCTGTGTTGCAGGCTCCCTCCTGAGACAGATCCTCAGGTACACACAAGCTGGGGCACTGTCATCTTCCCTGAACCCTCTTTAGGGCCCCAGGCCGAGCAGACCCCACGGCCTAGTCTGCTGGTTCCTTATCTGGCTGTCCCAAGCCATCTCTGAGCCCCTGTGACATGGTTAGGCCTGACCCGGGCACTGGTCAGTGCATCTGGTCAAGATGGGGTGTGGGGGGGATGTTGGGACTTAGGCTTTGGCAGAGTCTGGTCCTGTGAGCCAATGTCTTCCCAGGTACAACAGCCTAAGTATCCTGCCGGCTGCCCTTGGGAAGCCTGTGCGTGATGTGGCTGCCAAGGTCTGTGATGGTCAAGGTGGAACAGGCTAGGGGAGGTGGGAGGTAGCCACCCGGGGCCTTTCCTCTAAGACTGACCTAGGTCCTGCCCCACTCCTTTCAGGCTAAGGCAGTTGGCATCCAGGGCAACCTGTCTGGGGACCTGCTGCAGAGTGGAGGGCTGCTGGTGGTCAGCAAAGGTGGGTCACAGAGGGCCCTGAGCCAGAGCCTGGGGGGTGGGGGGAAGGCCTCTCTGAACCTGGTGACTGCACCTTGGCCCTCTCTTTGGCTTGTTGACTCAACTTGGCTTCTCCTCTGCAGCATGGCCCAGCCCTGAGAAGTGCCAGCTTGGCTGGGCTGAGGATTGGGGCAGAACAGCTCATTCTATAACTGGCTGGGGTCATGACCCCACCACATGCTTGCAAGGGGCAGGCAGCCTCCCTGGGGTCCTGACCACCTGCCTGCTGCTGCAGGTGGTGACAAAGTGCTGCTGCACTTCATTCAGAAGTCCCCAGGTGACTATGTCCCCCAGGAGAGCATCCTGCAGGCCTTGGGCATCTCTGTGGAGGTGTGTGCCAGTGAATCACCACCTCAGGTGAGCTTGTTAGCTACCCCTTCTCCTTTCCCCTGGGATGAGTACTTGTGTGGCTAGGAGCTGAGCTAGAGTTTCTTGGTGGCCAAGTAGGCAGGCATAGCAGGGCCCTCCCCAGCAGGTAGTCACTACATAGGGTGCTGTGGAGGTAGAGAAAGGCCTGTCCTCAGGAGGGCTGGGGTTTATCCAAGGTAGCCCTATCATCCTGGTGGTTGACTTCCTGTTCCCCAAATGGAGGGGAGTGACCAACGGTACAGGCCACCTCCAGTGTCCACCATGCCCCTCCTCTATTTGGGTAGGTGGCCCAGCTCCTCTTGGCCCCTGGCGAGTGGGGCCAGCCTGGTGTGACCTTGTTGTCTCTGCAGTGTGACAAGGAGCTGTGTGGAAGGTGACGTCCCGACATATGCTGCCCTGGGTGTACCAGGAGTTGGATTCCAAGAATCATCTGGAGCCCCTGGGCCAGGCCCTGATCTTGCCTGACCTTGGCAGCAGTGAACCATTAAAACCGCAGTTCCTGGGTAGTATGTTTCTTCACTGGCTTTGAGCCCTGAGTCCCCTGCAGCTCCTGCCTCACTCCCTGTTGGGTTCCTCAGGCTGGCAGGGCACTTGTGAGTCCCATGATGTCATCTTCCCACTACAAAAGTTTCTGTCCCTCAGGGGGCACTGATGGTACCTGGGGTGCTTGGGACTATAACCTCACTGCCCTGGCACTTCCTTCCAAGGCCACATCCCAGCCCAACTGACAGCCTGACAGGTTCTGAGGACCACGTTTGTGCCTCACCAGCTTCCCTCTGCTGAGCCTGAATGATCTCAGTGGGCTCCTTGATGGTCTCTTGCTTCCCTCCCTCCCTCTCACCCCTGCCCTGCCCACCTGCTCCAGGACTTCCTCCTCTGTCAGGTTCCTTAAAAGCCCACAGCAGGTAGGCTCTCCTTTGGCAGACAACCAGCTGTGGCTCCCCTGGGCCTACCTCTCAATCTCAGGCCCCCTCATCTGAATATGTGGTCCCTGAAATCAGGCATTTGGGGGCATCCTGGTCACTGCTGGGTCCAGCACTAGAACCCTGGGAGACTCACCTGAACCTCCTCCCTTCTGGTCAGTTCCCAGCTGCCACTTTCCCCACTGGGCTCTGGTTTTGCAGTAGGCTCCTACACCTGATTAGGACCCCCCCATAGACAAGGCACCCCACTTCTTTGAAGCGTTTACTTAGTTCACGTCAGAAGCTCTGGGCATTTAAGAGCAGTGCTTTGGAGAGTGGGTGGAAGACAGCTGATCGCGACTACTGGGCTGCGATGGGGGCACAAACCCCGCCGCAGTGGGCGCAGAGGGGCGCCGCGCTGGACATCACCAACCCCCGGAGTCGGGCGGTGGTTGTGCTCCAGGCCGGGCGCAGGACGCTCATGGGTCCCCGTGGCACTGTCTCCCCGTGGGCGCCTCCGGGCGGCGGGTGGGCAAGGGCCGCACAGCGCGGCTCATCCTTGGCTACCAGATGCGGCATCGCCCTTGGGGGTGCATGGGGCTGCCAGGGGTGCACTGGAAGGCTTGCGAGAAGGCGGCCAGGTTCTGCAGTGAGCCCAGCACCCTGCCAACAGGTGGGGTGGTGAGACCCAGGGTGGGTGTGGGGCCACAGGGTGTGGGGGTGGGCGTACTTGCCTATACTTCAGGGGGCTGTGCACATCAGTCTTGATGGACTGGAGGGCAAACTCTGGCCGGTAGGACCCACACCACACCTGTGGGAGGTGAGGGACAGTGGAGGGGGTGCCTCCCCTCTGCCCACATCTGCATTCCCAGCTCTCACTGCTCCTCCCCCTTTTGGCCCCATCTTCCTCCTCCAGGAAGCCTTCCTGTGGCTGGGGTCTGCAGGGCTGCCCTTCATGGCTCCAGGGGCCCCCAAAACCAGTATGAGCCTTCTGGAGGTGTTGATGGTGGTGGGTGGGGCTGAGCACTGTGGCTGCTACCTGGGCATAGTTGATGAAGAAGAGCTGGTCATTGGTCAGATTCAGTCCAGGCAGCTGCTGGTCCTTGCCACTTCTGGCCATCCACTTCAGGTATGCCTGTGGCACCGAGCAGGAGCTGGGCCCAGGCCTGCTCTGCCAGGGCTCCAGAGTCCTCAGCTGTCCCTACAGTGGGGGTCCTGCTCCTGCAACTTGGGGCCCCTTGGTGCACTCTTACTCGAGTGCTCACCACCTTAATTTCTCGGGCTCTCTGAACACCTACATTGGAGGGCTCTGTGGGGATCCCTTGCCGGCAACCTAGCACACAGCACCCCAGAATGAGCTCCTGATGCCTAGTATTTGTGGCCATATGTGCAGTGAGTGTGCAAAGGAAGTCTCAGTTTCACCTGGAGGCAGCAAGCTAGGGTGGGCACAGCTAGGCAGAGGTGCTCTCCCACTGCTGCCCACCCACTTGGAGGGAGAAGGTTCCCAGGACACAGCCTTGGGTGGGGTGCTCCCCACATTTCCCTGGGGCCCTCCTTGGACCCACCTTGTAGGCCTGTCTCACCCCTCCATTGTCAGCAATGTTTTCCCCGAGGGTGCTGAGTCCATTCACCTGTGCACAGGAGACAGGAGGGGAGCAGGGCAGCCTGGGCCGAGGCTGTGAACCCCCAGGGCAGCCATGGTACCCACTGCATGCTCACATTTTGATGGTCTGCCAGGTCCCAGGAGTAGTTGCCATACTGGTAGATCATGCACTCCGACTGCTCTCGGAAGTGGTGGGTGGAGAAGTTACTCCACCAATCCATCATGTTGCCATTCTTGTCAAAGTTCCGGCCTGGGAAAGGGCAGGAGTGAGGCTGCCCACCTGCCCCTGCACCCCAGGCCCTCCAGCACATGGCAGATGGTAGCCCAGCATCCATCCTCTCCCACCTCTCCTCTAGCACCCAGAAGCAAGAGCTCACAGTCTGGAGCAGGGACTGTGCTTGAGGTACTCAGCACCTATAGAAGGTGGGCTTCAGTGGTTTTCCATGCCTCTATTTAAGACCTGGGGTCTTGTGCCCTGGGGTCTCAAAGGCACCAGTTTAAGGACTCCTGTGACATCTATAGTCTCTAAACCCTAGGTGGGGGGCTCACATGGCCTCTGAGGACATGTGGCTACCCAGGGAAGGTCTTGATGACTGAGACACAGGGCCCCTATGCCTGGTGGCAGGATGGCCCCTCTTGGTGTTGGAGACTGGCATGTGGGGTCAGCACATCCCTGGGCTGGCTATTCTGGAAAAGATCCAGGGGATGCTGGCTGGCTATTCTGGAAAAGATCCAGGGCTGGGGTTGGACCAGGTCAGCACCTTAAGCTTAATAGGAATGCTGGGCAATGGCACTGACCTTGTTTCACAGGTCAAGGCAGGGGTAAGTGACTAGTCACCAGGCAGTCAGATCACAGTACAGCCCTTGTATCCACCCCTCTATGTCTGGAGCAGGTGTCCAGGACAGCACCCAAGCCTGGCATTTAGACCTGCCTGTCCCCACAGCTCCCTGGGGCCTTGGCCTCAGCTCTCCACTTAAACCACAAAGGGGTTGAGTGGATGGGCCCCTGCCCACTGCCGCTCTATGTGGCCCCCTCACCATTGTCATCAAAGCCATGTGTGATCTCGTGTCCAATCACCATCCCGATGCCCCCAAAGTTCAAGGCCTGTGGCTGATCCTTGCTGAAGAAGGGGGGCTGGAGGATCCCGGCAGGGAACACTGTCCCCAAAGGGGGATGAAGATTAAGCTGTGAGTGGGCACATCTCCTGCATGCCAAGTTGGGGGTGAGCACCTCTAGGGCTCCTGCCACTAAACCCCACAGCCTGGGAGATAGAGGTCAGGCCCCCAGTTTACAGATGAGACTGAGGCTCCAAGGCCAGGAGGGCGGGGTCAGTGCATAGCAGACCCTGGAGGCACACCCAGCTTCTTTCCAGCATACTGTCCTGCCTTTAGGAAAAGGGTCTTTGCTGTCTCCCAACCCCCTCCTGACCTGCTCATAGTACCGGAGTGAACCTTTCCTGGGGGAAACAAGGGGTGAGGTGGACGAGTACAGGCTGGGGCGGTCCCAGGAAAAGGCAGGAGTCTGCAAGTTGCCCCTTCCTCTGGCACTGAAGGGCATGGGCGCAGGTAGGAAGGAGGGGTGAACGTACCAATCTGGTTTCGGTTTGGGGAGTAGAAGGCATTAACCACTGCAGCCCCGATGATCCATCTGTGATAAACCGGTCTATCACTTGCAGCCCACATTTCCTGGGACCCTCTCTCTGGGTCCTCCCTGCCCCAACTGACCAGAGCCCACCCCAAGGAGGCCCATGTCAGTGGCCATGCCCAAAGCAATGTCTCAGACCAATCCCAAGATCAGGTTCCTCTCTGGGGGCCCTAAGGAGGGGCAGCTCAGGCCCCTGAGAGCAAAGGGTGCATGGACACTCTGAGAGAAGGCTAACAGCTGGCCTTGGCCAAGCATCCAGATACCCCTGCCCAGCAGGTAGCCCCTGCATGTTGAGCTGTCCACACCCTGGGGCCCTACATACCACACCAGCTAGGCCACTCACAGATTCTGGTCCACCTTTTCTCGAAGCTTCTTTAGGCTCCGTTGGGCACCTGCCCTGAGGTTCTGCAGACCATTCTCAAAGTACAGGTCCTCTGAGAAGTTCAGCTACAGGACAGGGGCAGTCATTGGCAGCACTTGGGCTGGGTCCAGAGAGGGGCAATGGGAGAGGTCACGATGGCTGGGAGAAGATCTCAAGGCTTGCCAGGCAGCTTGGCATATGCCTAGCAAGCTCTGGGTATAGGTGGAGTGGGGGGAAGTGGGCAGCCCTGGCTCTGAGCATGTCTGTAGACCCTTAAGCCCTCAGTTTCCCATCTGTAAATTGAAGGTAATGCTGGAGCCGCCCAGGGCATGGCAAGGATGGCTGAGTTAGCCACTGGGAGGGGTATGGTGCTGGTGCTTGGCACAGAGCAGCCCTCCCAGGTAATCAAGGGCCCCTTGTCCACAGGGGGCTGTGTGGGGACAGGTCAGGGACAAATGGGGCTGAGCCAGGGGTGAGGTGGGGCGCACATTGGAATACTCCTCGTCCAGGTGCTTGTTCTGCGCCTCCAAGATGTAGTCTGGGTAGCCAATCTGCTCCCGGATATTAATGGCCTGAGGAGAAGAGGGCCCATGGGTGTCTGCTCTCCTGGGAGGGCTGGGCCTGAGCACCCTGGCTCCACTCTCCTTGTTCTGTGGGTAAGGGTCTGAGGGATTGGGCATAGCCCCGCCTGGCAGCTGTGAAGAGGTTTAATGGGGACAGAATGTGGAGGGGGAGAGGCTCAGCCTGAAATCCTGACAGCCAGGGATCTGGGGGGCTAGCAAGGGGCCAAGAGGCTACACTTGGCTGCTGTTTGTCACCCTGATCCAGAGGGGCTTCTAGTAGGTCCTGGTTCCTGCTCCCTAGGCTACCCCTGCTGGTGCCTGGGGGCAACAGAGGATTTCTGGCCTTGGCTTCTGGTTTCTGCCCTTGCCCCACCCACCTCTTCACACCTCTCAAGCAGGTGTGATGTAATCCGTCCTGGGGCTGCCCTTTCCTGCTTGGGGCTCCATGCACCTGGCTGCCCAGGCCCTGCCTGGCTGGCTCACCTTCTCCTGGGCCTTCCTCTTGGACTCCTCATCCATCCAGTTCAGCTCATCCAGCGTCTCCACAAACACTGTCCGCACCTCGTCAATGAGGGTTCTGACCTGGCAGAGCAGGCATGGCCCTGGCATCCCAGTCTCTCCCGGAAGACAGATGACAAACATTTGAGGTCTTTCCGGGACGAGCTCAGGGTACCCCTGGCTGTGGGCCTCTCTGGACAAGAAGTGGATAGGGGTTCTTCCCTTTGGGCCTTGGATCTTGCCCTGGACTCCCCGTGTACAGCCTGAACCTTCACCAGGTGGCCCTGCAGCGTCCGGGAGTGGGGCCCTTTGGATGGCTGAGGGCTCCCCCGGCCCCTCATCTGGCACCCCTGGGCACCCCTGAGCTCCCTGGGATGGGAGTCACAGTGCAGGGGATACTGCGGCTGCTCCCCACCGCCTGCAGCCAGTGTCCACGCGAAGCCTGTGCCCGGCGAGCTACCCCAGGGCAGGTGGGGCACAAGGGGCTCGCTACCCACCATGTTCTTGCTGTCTCCAGGGAACGCCTCCTTCACGTAGAGGGAGCCCACGGCGCTCTCCATGTTGCCATTGACGTAGCTGACGCACTCCCGCCAGCGTGCCTCCTCCTTGGTGGTGCCGTACAGGGCCTGGCGTGTTAGTCTGTTCACTCATCCCGCCTCATGCGGCAACACCTGCTTCTCCAGGGCCTGCTCTGACCACACCCACCCGCCCCCTGCCTCAGGGTGCCCGGGGCACAGGGTGGTCTCCTGGGTGGAGGGCTCCCACCCAGACCCAAGCTGGGCCTTTACGGTAGGGAGTTGGGGTTCTTCCTCCGCCTGGTCCTTGTCGCCTTGACCTGGTTGTCTGGGCGGACTCTGCCCTCAAGGAGCCCACCCCCATGGCACGGACAGGGCTGGTATCCTAAGCTGAAGGGAGGAATAACAGGCCCTGCTCTGGGCAGCGCGGGAGCCTCCTCTGCGGGACCTCCCTCACCTTGCGGTAGCTCGTTCGCGCGTCCTTGAACCTCTGGCTCAGGCTGCCAATGCGATCCAGCACCAGGCGCCAGACCAGGTAGTTCTGCAGGGTCCTGGAGGCACAAGGCAAGAGAGGGGCTGTTGGCCTGGGGCCCTTGGACAGCAGGTTCTAATCTGGAGAGTTCTGGCTGCTGCCCCCTCGTGGCCCTCCCTCCTCAGGGTAAATGCTTAATGGGAAAGTGGCGAGAGCAGGGACAAAGGTGAGGAGGCCTCACCTGGATGTGTATGTACCGATGATGTTTTCAAGATTCTGCAGGTAGGGGACCCCGTAGACCACCACCTCCTCATTTGGCAGCAACTTGATTTTAACCGAGGACAGCACAGTTTGTATGAAGAGCGTCCAGTTAAATCCCTGGGGAAAGAGGGAGTGGGGAGAAAGGGGAACAAACAGAGGTAAACACAATTCCTAGGCATCTAGGAAACCCAGCCCCTACTGAGGAATATTCGAAGATTAAGAGAGAAGGTGCAGATAATTAGAATTGGGGGAAAGGTGGTGACTCTACTACAGAGGCTACAAGTGGTCTGCCAGGGTATAAGACATCAGGCCAATATATTTGAAAATTTAAGTATAATGGGGGAATTCCCAGAAAAACACAACTTAGCAAAAATGACAAAAGGAGAGATAGAAATCACAAATACTCCTATAAGTAAAATAGACTGGAACTTTAATATGAAATATTCCCACAAAGAAATTTCCAGGCTCATCCGGCTTTACCTGATGGAGTCTATCTGATGTTTAAGGAAAATAAACTGCCAATCTTATGAAACTTTCCATAGAAGAGAAAATTAGAAAATGCTTTTCAGTTTAATTTTTGAGGCCAAGAATGACCTCAACACCAAAACCAGGATAAGAAAAGAACAAGTCAGCATAATTTATGTCATAGATACAAAAATTCTAAGCAGAAGATTAGCAAATAGAATTCAGCCCTACTTGTTTAAAGTGGTGATATCCCACACCTAAATTAGATTTATTCAAGGTGTAACATTTGAAAATAAAATCAGTATCATTCACATGGTAATGAGATAAAGGAAGAAAATGACATAATCTCAATAGTTGCAGGAAAGGCAGTTAATAAAACCTGCCATCTATGAGAAAACTAAAAATTAAGTTCTATAATCTGGTAAATGAAATCCTTGAAACTGCAGCAACAACAGCAATAACAAAAAACTCCAGAGCAAGTGAAATTTAATGGTAAAATGCAAGCTCTTCTTCTGACCTCAGGGAGGAAACAGGTGTCCCTCATCCTGACTGTCATATCAATACAGATCGAAAGAGAAAAATAAAAACTTATTTTTCACTGATGCCATGGTTTTATGTGTATAAAATCTGAAAGAATCTACAGATAAACCAGGAGAACTAGTAAGTGAACATGTAACATTGCTGTATGCAAAGTTAGTATTACTGTATATTAAAAGAATAAGAGGATACACTTACAAAATGATACTACTTATACTACAAAAGACCACACACAAAAACTATAAAACTTGTTGAGAGAGATTAAAGAAAATTATACATAAATGGGAGCATTTATCAAGTTCATAGTTTGGAAGACAACACTATAAAGATGGCAAGGCTTTCCCAGATGGATGTGGAGATTCAAAGCAGTCTCCCCCATCAAATCCCAGTAGGTTTGTGTGTGTGTGACAAATTGGAAAGGTGATTTAAGTTTTATATGAAAATGCAAAGAACCAAGAATAGCCAACACAATCTTGAGGAACAAAGATATCATCAAGATTTAGTAACAGAGTAGGCATGTCATGTGGATTGATAAGGACCAGTGGGACACCTCAGCAGGTGCACCCGTACACACACACAAAGACACGTGATTTGTGACAAAGATGGTGCCCAGACCAGTGGCTCAATCTGCTCAATGAATAGGACTGGGGAACCTGAAATCCACAAAAAAGTATTGAACCCTTGCCATGTCTCACCACGTGTGACTCAATGATGTTGAGAGTAGACAAAGACTTCTTAAACGGAACGCAAAGGACAATGACCATGAAGAAAAGATTGTTTTGTCGTTAGATGGTTAATTAATCAGACCGTTTCAAATAAAAAAAAGCCAGCTGCCCAGTGGGGAGGACGTGTGTACACACCAAAGAGGCACAGCCAACATCTACAAACAACTCTGAAACCAGTAGGAAAGAGGCGGACAGCCTGACAGAACAAATGGGCAAGGGACTGGACAGACATTTCACAGAAGGGGCAATTGCTAGCCAAGCAAAATGGAACAGCACCAACCTCTTCAGCCTGTGGGGACAAATGGGACCCAGAAGAAGCCCAGTACACACCCACCAAAGTGGCTAAGAGGCAGAAACCAGACACGGCCAGTGCTGGCGAGGGAGTGTCACACTCAGTGCTGTGAGTGAAAGTCCATGCAGTCACTTTGGGAAAGAAGAATGTTGAGGGCACCTGTCACAGCCAGGCATGCCCAGTCCTAGGACCTGGCAGTTTCCTGGGCACATACCCAGCGGTAGTGCACCCCTGTGCCCACCAACCACACGCATGAGCACTGCAACAGTTCTCAAGATAGGCCCAAAGACAGTTAGGGTGGAGCATAAATTGTTGCACATCCCTGCAGTTGGGTGCCATTCAGCAGCCAAGACTTGCGGAGGTGGGGGACTCTCCCAGAACTCTCTTGTCTTATCACTGGCAAGAGCTATGGCCAGCAGTTCTCAACCTGTGTGTTGCAACCCACGGGAACTGTATTAAAGGGCCGCAGCATCAGGAAGGTTGAGAACCACTGCTCTAGACATTCAGTGACAATTTCTGCCTTCTGGCTTGGATGTCTTCTATGGCTAACTATGGGCAGAGCTGCACCCCGGCCCCTCCTGGGAAGGTGGGGCTGCCGGGTAGGATCCCAGGTTTCTCTCTAGCCCCTGTCCTAAAATGTAAGGGGTGTCCTGGGGGATGAAGGGCCTGAGAGTCTGGCTGTGGGGAGCCAGCACCTTCAGAGTCAGGCAGACCTGGGAGGCAGAGCCGTGCTGGGCTCTAAGTGGGACTCAGCAGCCCATCTGGGCCTCGGTGTCCTGCTCAGAAAACCAGGGTAACTATAGCATGTTTCAGAAGGGGTGACTCTGTTGGCCCCACTGTCCTGATGAGAATAGCAATGGTGCCCACCTTTCTCACAGTGGTTTAGGTGAGCAAATATATGGCCCCTCTGCTCTGCCATGGGGAGTATTTCTGAACTTGAATGAGAGGCCAGGTGCCTTGTTAGCATTCCCCTGCTCCCGTGTCCCCTGTGGAGTCCTGAGCCCGCCCCAGGCTGGGCCTCCTGTTGGACAGGCCTGTGGGCCTCACCTTCAGGCCAAACCTGTTCTGGAGCTCTGCCAGTTCCATCTTGTGGTATAGGGCAGTGACATCATGCCTGTCCTCCTGGGGCACCGTGGCCTGCACCGAGGACCTGTGATCACAGGGGGCAGGCGGCAGGCGCAGCCCCAGAACCCCGGGCCCTGCTTTCCCACCTCACCCTGTTCTCCCACCCTGGGCCCTTCCCGCTCTCCCACCCTGGGACCTGCTCTCCCACCCCAGGCCCCGCCTCACGTTGGCCAGGTTCATCTCCAGCTCCAGCACCTTGGCCATGTCCTTGAGCACCAGGTGGCTGTTCTTGGGGAGTTTCATGTCCTTGCGCAGCATCGTGGCCACTGCCACCATGAAGTGCAGGTAGGCCTCCCGTACCTGGGCCAGGACGCAGGCTGGAGTCAGGCGGCCACGCACATGGCAGCCCCCGGGGAGTTTTTTGAGGGGTGGGGGTGGTGAACATGGAGCAGCCCCCAGGGTGCTCCTCTGGCTGAGCTTGGCCAGCAGGCTCAGGACACATGGGGCACTGAAGGGGGGGTTGTTTGGACATCCAGCCCAGGCTCCCGAACTCTTCATGGAGCTGAATGCCAGGCTATACCCAGGCAGCACCAGGTCCCCGGCCAACACAGGTGGGAGACCCACCCTGCAGGGCTGCTAGAAACAAAGCCACACCTAGGTGGGAAGGTCTGTCTGGCAGCAGGTGCTCGGTAGAGGTTGGGGCTGTTGTGCCAGGCCTAACCTAGGTCTCCCTAGCCAGGCTCTGCTCAGCTTGAGGTCAAGAATTGGACCCCAAAGACGGGTGTATCTTGGGGATGGGACTGCCTTCCTCATGCCTGATCCTGGGGGGCTCATCGTGGGTGGGAACCTCAGGGGCTGCCTCCTTTCGAGTGCTTGGCATTGAGCAAGCCAGTGCCCTGGCCAGTCTTGGCCCAGAGCTACCTGCCCTGACCCTGGCTTCAGTCCTCCTCTGAGTTAGGCCCCTAGCCTGGCTCTCCCAGGCTCCAGCCTCAGGATACCACTCCTTTCTCTGGCCACACCTGCCCTTCTTCCCTCAGAGTGTGGCCCCTATCACTTTTACCCATGGGTCATTCACACCTAGAGCCTTTGCACACCCACTAGCCCTGATGTAGCCTCAAGGTCCCCCCTATGTACTCCCTGGCTCCTTTGCCCCCTCCTCTCTTGACAGACTCCCTGTGGCCGGAGCTGGCTTGGATGCTGCCCTGGTTCTACACTGCTGACAGGCTGAGTGTCTGCTCATCAGGGCTGTGGCTGGGTTTATCCCTGGCCTGGCTCAGGGTGTTGAGGGGAGGCCCCCTATGTTGGTGCTAAGTGACAGGTGGCATCTGTGTCCCCAGCCTGCAGTGCCATGATGGACCATGTGGGTGCTCCCAATGTCAGCCATGGGTAGAGGGGAGAGTGGGGCTTCAAGTGGGCCTAAGATGTCAGGAGGGGCTGGGCCCAGCACCAGTGCCTGAGTCCCCACTCACCTTCTGGTTGTTGCCCCCGCTGAAGTAGTAATCCCGAGACGGCATGCCCAGCGTGGGCTGGTCTATCTGGAAACACAGAGGTGTAACCATGGGCAAGGACTGGGGGTCCCCACATCCTGGCTTCCAAGACTGTACCCCGTGGAACCCCACCCCCAGAAGGGACACTGAGTGTGTGCTGGATGGGGACTCAGGCCCTGCTGAGTGTTGTGGGGGTGGAGGGCTGATGGGGATACAGGGGATACAGGCCACCGTGGGGCCTTGAGGTGCCCTTTGCCCGCTCAGAGTGCAATGCACATTTTCCTTAAGTGTTGCCTTTGGTCTCCAGCCTGTAGCCGGTGATGGCTCTCTGAGGCCAGGCTTCCTGCCCTGGTGCCACAGGCCTCACTAACCAGAACACAGGCCCCACCACGCAGCTGGGGAAGCCAGAAGGCCCAATAGAAACCCTGTCAGCAGCAGCCTGTCCCCACACACAGGCATGGATGTGGGCCAGGAGCACAGCTCTGGGCACAACTGTAGGGCTTCTGCCCCTTATGGCCCCTGCCCTGGCCCATCCCCCACCGCACCAAGAGAGCCACTAGAGCCCCCAGCCAGGAGTGGGGACCTGGCCTACCCCGGCCCCCCGGCGCAGCTCGTACGTAGATGATGTGGCGGCTGGAGTTCTGGTCATCATTCCAGACGAAGAGGTCGATGAGGATGCGCCTGTTGAACTGTGTGTTCATCAGCGCCAGCTGCCGCTCCAGCTCCCACCTGAGGCCTGGGGAGTCAGCGCCCCAGGCTGGGAGACCGGCTGGGCCCTGGGAGTCCCGGCCCGGCCTCTTGTCACACAGCGAATCTGTTTCCTAAGCCTGGGGACCCCGCCCGGCCCAGGATAGTATGTGCTCTTTGTGGGGGTTCAGGGGGCAGGGGCTGTTTCAGAGCCATGAGCACTGGTTCTGTGAACCACTGCTGTCCTGGGTTGGGGGGGCCAGAGTGCAGACAGGTGAGACAAGATCAGAGCTGGGAGCCCAGGGCCAGCCCACAGGGGTGCCCAACACAGCCAGCGCTGGCTCCGTAGCACAAGGCCTAGGCTCCTGGGTCCCTGAGGCTGGCCCTGGTGGGGTTGGGTCTCTTGGGGCTCCCCAAGATCAGCCAGCCAAAGGGCTCCCTGGAAGTTCTTGGCCCCCAAGAAGGTCCAGGCCCAGCGTCTGCCTCCATCTGTCTTTGAGGCTGCCACAAGGCCCTGGCCTTACCTAGAGTCTCATTCCACTTGTCCATGGTCACTGGCCAGCCTCCCACCGTCTCCAAGATGCTCAGCAGGGGCTGAGAGTCTCGCTTCTCTATTAAACCTGACAAGGGACATGGTGGTCACTGCCTCAGACTTCTGGGCTCATGTGCCCTCTCTGGCCACAGCCTTAGTGCCTTGGTAACTCTATGGCACAGGAGACTGGACGTGGCATGAAAGGGGGCCTGGAGGGTTCATGAAAGCTGTTCATCTGTGCATATATGTGTATGTATTGTGCATACGTGTGCAGCAGCCCCCAGGACAACGGAGGGGGCCAGCAGGTGAGCCTAACATGTGCAATTGTGGCCAATGGGGGGACGGCCCCTGGGTGTGGGGGGGCTTCATGTCTAGCATCAAGGCAGACTAAGATGGACTATACAACAGAACTTCTGACAAGAAACTTAGGAGAACTTCTATCACAAATTAAGTGAAGGTGGGAATGCAGAGGATTACTACAGAAATAAATGGAGACCACCATGTGAGTGGTGGAGGCTTCAGGGTTTGCCAAGCTAGGGAGGTGGGAGCAAGGGAGTAGGCACCTTCATTGGGTCACCAGCATTTGGTAGATCAATGGCAGGCATGGCAGTGACAGAGCTTCCTGGTAGGAATGGGAAGGCCCCCAGTGAGCCCCTGTTGGAAGTTTGCACCAGCACTGCCACCTCTGGGATGGTCTTGGGGGTGTTTAGCTTTTTGCTTAGTCTTAGGTTGGAAGGAGGGACAAAAATTAGACAGGCAGCTGTCAGTTATGAGCCAAGCCTTGGCTGTCTGGGGCCAGCGCTATAAGGATGGCCAGTGTTACAGGCAGGCCAGCATCACAGGGATGGCTGACTAACATCTGGGCTGCTTACTGTGGATGGGGTGGGGTTCCAGCCTGGCTGCTGTGGGCTGTGAGTTGGGGTTCTCTTGCTAGAGAGAACCTCCACACCCATGCAGACCAAGTGGCACTCAGCATGTACACATGTACACACATACCTATGCACACATACATATGCACATGCATGCACACATACATATGCACACACACATGCATACATACACATGCAAACACATGCACACATACATGCACACATACACTTGCGTGCACACATACACACATACATATGCACACAAACACATGTACACACATATGCACACATACCTATGCACACATACACATGCACACATACACATGCACATAACACATACAGGCAGGCCCCTACTGTCTTCCTGCTGTATGCAAAGTGGTCTGTGCTGGGGTGGGGTGTCAGCAAGGTCGTAGGGCCCTGGGCAGTAAGTGATGAGCAGGAAGCCTGAACCTAGTGACTGGGAGGGGGTGCCATGGGGCTCTAGGGCTCAAGTGGGCTCTGGCAGGGGCAGGCCCTGCCACCCTGCCTCAGCCCTTCCTGGGGCCCCACACTCACTCTCATTCATGCAGGAGCGGTACAGCATCTTGGCCTTCTCCACAGCTGGCCGTTCCTTGACGGTGGAATTCTCCAGCACCGCTGTGGGCACAGGAGAAGGTTGGACAGAGGACTGATGTGGCCATGGGGGCAGGGGTCCAGGTCAGAGTTCCCCCACCCTGGCAGCACTCAGCCCAGTTGCTGGGCTCCCCTGGGAGCACCCCTCCCCTCCACACCCATGCAGACGGAGTGGCCCGGCCATCCCTAGCTCCTGGCCACACTGCCACCCTCGAGTGGGGCAGGCACCAGCCTCACCCCACTGCACCCTGAGGCTGTGGCTGCTTCCACCTTTGAGGACGACCTCCAGTTCGTCTCGAAGGATGTCAAAGACGCTGTATCGGGAGTTGGTCTCGGGGATCACGTGGCGCCGCAACCAGCCTCCACAGGCATACTGGTAGAAGTCATTACACGGTTCATGAGACATGTCCATATTCTGCAGGATCCTGGCGGCTGCTTGTCCCCAGGGCATGAAGAAGGAAGAGGGGAGATGGGGATGTGACAGCTCCAAAGCCTGGGACAGCCTAAGAGACAGTCACTATTCCCAGTAAGAGCTAACCGCCCCCTCTGAGCTGCAGTGAAGCTGGAAGCAGGGGGAGTCACCCAACCTGGATGCAACTGTTGGGGCTCCCACTTACTAACCACATAGACTTGAGGCATGGCTTCTCCGAGCCTCACTTTCTAATCCAGTTCCAGGGACTTGGACAGAAACTCACAGGAAGTACTTAGCTGGTGACCCTGCCCTGTAGCCCCTTCCTCATCAGTGAGCTTGGACCCTGGGAACAGGGCTGGCCCTTACCCACCATTGTGTTTTATTTTCTGTAAGAGGAGATGGCTGTGCACCCAGGAACTCAGAGTGTGCAAGGGAGGGAAAGGAGGTTGCAGCTGTATGCTCTCAGCGAGGTGGTTGCATTGTACTCTCCATCAGGACCCCTGCCAGGACCCTCCCTCCTATGCCACCCCTGAGGCTGGGGACCTCACAGCAGCATGACCACGAGCTTCCTAGACCCCAAGCTGGGCAGGAAAACCATGTTTCTGAGTTTCTCCACTAGTGTGCCTTCACACTATTTCCACATTTTTGTCACCTTCAAATAGCAGTATATGGGCTCCAATTTTAAGACAAATTCCTGGGAGGAAACTTAAAGAGAGCAGGGGGTCTGTTCATTTGAACTTTCTTTCTGTAAATGCAAACAGAAGCCCCTGGGGTCCTTAGCTCGATCACTGCAGAGGCAGGTTCTGAGGCGGCAGTAGGTATGAAACCAGAGTAGAAGACGAGTTCCCCTCACCTCACTGCCACTTCAGCCTACCTGGCACCACAGCTGTGTCTCGGGGTTGGTCCCCTTGGCCTTGGGTAGGGCCTGTGCCAGCATCTGCTAGAAGCCCCCAGCCCCTGGGCAGGTCTGTAGAAGGGACGTGGGAGGGTGCTTACCTGCCATTACGCAGCCAGGCGTGGTGCAGACTTCCTTCCTCTTCTGGGTCTCTGGGATGGCTGTGGAAAGGAGTAGTGTAAACATGTGGAGAGACTGGGTGGGTGGGCAGGGCCCCCAGCTGGGGTGGGCGGGGTCAGACATCAAATTCCAACCCCTGCCACCAAAGTCAGTCTAGCCCAAGTCCTCCCAGGTGGCTTAACCCTGCAATGGCCTGGGAGCCCTTTGCTCCCTCCACCTTCACTGACCCCACGGCTGTCTTGCCTCCAAGGGCCAAAGCTGGACATTCTGTTTTTTTGCCTCTGCCAGTAGCTCTCACCTACTGCCCAGGCCAGGTCCTCCAGGCAGCCTGCTCTGTGCACTCTGGCCCCAGCCTGCTGTGCTGCCCCTCTCTGCGTGCCCTGCCCCTAGCCTGTGCCTCCCCCTGCTCTACCTGGTTGTTTCCAATGTGGCCACTTGTGAGGCTGGGGTGAGCTGTTCACAGTGCCCAGCAATCATCCTATGTCCAGCAAGTGCTCATGGTCAGCATCCCTGCCCCTGCCCTTTCTTCCCCACGCCCCTCCTGTGGCACACAAGGGGCAGGTGGTGTAACCTGCCCTGGCTGCAGGGCCCCGCCTCTCTGTGGAGACCTCTGTCCCATAGAAGGCCCAGTCTCTGAGCCTACCACTCAGGGCTCAGAGACTGATAGGGCTGTGTTTGGTTGGGAAGGCAAAGGCTACCTCGGACTTTTCTTTTTACAATGATCTTCTCTTCCTTTGAGAAGCACAGCGGGCTAGCCAGGGGTGGCAGCTGCTTCCCTGGGGAGAAACACAGTGCTCAGCTTCAACCTCCAGTGCTGGTTCCCTGGGGAACGTGGAGCCCTGCCTGAGACAGCACCAGCATTTTCCTACAGTACTGGGGTGCAGCATCCACCACCCCATAGTGAGGGCTGGTCACCAGGGGACAGCAGCACTTATCGCAGTGTTCCTCTCCATGTCTGTGCTTGGCCTGAGTGGAAGGAGGAGCCCTGTCCCAATTCTACCCCCACCACCCCAGGCTGCTCCCATCTGCCAGGGTTTAGGTGGCATGTGGGGTGGGACCATCCCCCATCTTCTCCCCCCACATTCTCTTCCACCCCAGGATGTTCCTGAACACTGGTCAGACTCATACACAGTGGGCTGCTTCAGAAGGCATTTGACCTCCAGCTGGGGGTGATCAGGAGGATCAGGAGGGGATTCTGCTTCTGATTAGGATGCAGAAGATTGAAATAAACCACAGCTGTCACCCTAACAAGGCGATTAAACTGGAGAAGCCACAACACGACGGCTTACAGAAACCCACCAGAGAGCTGAGGATATAAAGAAACACGAACAAACCAAATTCCAGAAAGGGACAGCCCTTTCCAGGATAGGAGAGAACCATGGCTGCTTCCATCCCCAGAGCTAGGCCAGAGAGGGGACAGACCTGCCATGCAGACCACTTGGGAGCCATGTGCACCTGTGTGGGGGCTGGTGCAAGAGATCAGGATTCTGGAACCCCAGTCACAGCATCTGCACCTGCGCCCAATTTTTCTCATGAGGCCTTCACTGAGTGCATGTTGGTGATAAAAGGAAAACTGAGAAGTCTGAATGAAGTATGGATTTAGTTAATAGTAATATATCAATATTGGTTCATTACTTGTGACAAATGTATCATGCTAATACAAGATGTTAATAATCGGGGAGACCAGGTGTGGGGTATGTAGGAGCTCTCTGTACTAGCTTTGTGATACTTCTTTGAATCTAAAATTGTTCTAAAATTTTAAAATATTGCTTTCTAAAACCTGAACAGAAGATCTGAGACCTGAGGGACAACATTGAGGGACAACATTAAATGGCTTAACACATATACTCCGGAAGGTGTACTCTATCCCAAGCAAGGTAAATACAAAGAAAACCACATCTAGCAGCATCACAGTCAAACTATAATTACACTCAGGTAACAATAAGAACAGCAGCAGACTTCTCACCCCAAAAAATGGACCAAAGATGATGATGGAATGAGAGAAATACAGTCACTGTTAGCTTAGAATTCTATACCCAGCAAAAATATATTTCAAAAGTGAAATGAGACCTTGAGACAAAAGCTGAGAGAGTGTCTCCACCAGGCACACATTGTCACAAACGTCCACATGTCTTCACTCAGAACCTGTAGGAAGCCCGGATTGGTGGGAAGCTTGGTGAGCCCCAGAAGGGGAAGACAGAATGAATAAAGAGTTATGGGAGCACCAGATGATGCATTAAATTTCTTTGTTTCCAGTCTAGCCAGACATATCCAGAGCAAATTTCTAAAACCAAAGCAGGGGTGTTCCTTCCTCCTTATGTCCTACCTCTGCAGAGTTCCCAACAGAGGCTGCCATGACCTTCTTATTGGAAGAAATGTCCTCAGGTGGATTTATCAGATGGTACAGCAGCTCAAGAGCTACCTGAAGATGCAGTGGGCTCTTGAGGTAACATTTCCAAAACTGAATTAGATGAGGTGGGTGTAGTATTCCCCCACATCACCCTTTAACTTACAGCATCTCATGTTATCATCACACGAAGTCTGTGAGCCTCAGTTTTCCCACTTATTTTTGTCAAGAAAACTGATGGGGAGGTGGGTAGTACACCCAGGGTCGCATCCCTAGCAGGTGACAGGTTTTACTTCCACTTCCATATTGTCTTTCAAAATATTATTCCTCTGAGTAGGAGATGAAGCAAAACAGCAAGCACCTTTTGACACAAATCTGACTAGGAGTGAAGTCTTAACTCTCATGCTAAAACGTGATCAGCTAGAAGCAGAGTAAATCTTCCTCATAATTCCAGAAAAGAGCCACTTTCCTTGTGACCTCTGAGTCACCCAAATGCCCTATTACCTGTTCTTTATACTTGCTTGCACAAGTTCTGTAATATGCCAATTATTTTTATTTTAATGGGCTCTAAACATTTAAGCATTTTTTGGACATTTTCTCTGCAAGTTTTGTTTTCCTAAAGCTTTCCTAATTTCTTGATTTGAATAAGTAATTTATGTTTCCTCTCTCTCTCTTTCTCTTCTCCCTGCCCTTCCCCTCCTCTTTCTTTATCTCTTTCTCCGAAGGACTTTGTTGGGTGGAAAAAAATCTATCCTCTCCCGAGAACATACAGTCCCAGGCTGTTGCCATGTGGGTGCAGGGTGTGAGTTACACAACTGGGTGGCCAAGGGAACTTCATGCTGAGGAATCAGTTTAAAGAAGTTCCAGGCTGGTGGTATCCCAAGGTGCCTGGTGGAGAGAAACACACATATTCTCCAGAGGGAACTTTCTCAGCCCCAGTGACGCAGTATTCCTACAGACAATGCCCATCTAAATATAGATTCATGTTTACAAAAAGAAGACTCTTCCATGAATGAGAGACAAGAAACAGCAAAACTAGAACTCCAAGGATTTCAGATTCTAGAATCATCTTCTGAGAATGTGTGAAGGTGGCATCACTGGCCACATGTCTTGACTCCTGTGACCACGCCTTACCCACATAACTGCATAGCTGTTCTCAGTAAAAGGCAGGGGATATTCTCCCTATGTTTTGACTGTGCATTTCCATGTGACTTGTGTTGGCTGACAGAATAAGGTGGGAATGACAACATTTCAGTTCTAGGTCTTAAGAGGCCTTGTATGTTTTCATTTCCACTCTGGAACTTCTGTTCCTGCCAGGAGAGGATTATGTCCAGACTTGCTTGCTGGTCCATGGAGTTTGCATGGAACAGCCGAACCCTCAACTGAGCCAGACCTAACTCCAGTCAAACTACAGATATGCGTCACCATAACCCTTTGTTTTAGGCCACTGAGTTTGGGTTGTATTTTTAGGCATCAACAGCTAAAGAAAACAATGTAAATATGTTTTTTTTTTTTTTTTTGAGACAGAGTCTCACATTGTCACCCTTGATAGAGTGCCATGCCATCATAGCTCACAGCAACCTCAAACTCTTGGCGCAAGTGATCCTCCTTCCTCAGCCTCCTGAGTAGCTGGGACTACAGGCGCCTGCCACAACACCCAGCTATTTTTAGAGATGGGGTCTCATTCTTGCTCTGGCTGGTCTCAAACTCCTGAGCTTAAGCAATCCACCTGCCTTTGCCTCCTAGAGTGCTGGAATTATAGGCATGAGTCACTGTGCCTGACCATGCAAATATGTTTGAAATACTTTAAAAAATTAAAGAATTGAAAAAAAGGAACATTAAAAAGGAATCAGTTTGAAAAAGGATCAATTATAAATTCTAGAAATAAAAACATGCAGTTGTTGAGATTTAAAAACAACATTGACAACAAACCCACAGTGGATGAGTTACACAGCAGATATAACAGAGCTGAAGGGAGAGTTAGTGAATTGGAATTAGTTCTAAAGAATTTACTCAGAATGCAGGAAAAAGCAAGGAGATGGAACTATAGTAGAAAAGACATGAGGGCATGGAAGAGTGAGGAAAATGGAGTAAATATATAATCAGAATTTTAGGAGGTGAACAGAGATGATGTGAGAGACAGAATATCTAGAAAATAATCGCTAAAATTCCCCCAAACTAATAAATGTTATTAGAGCTCAGATTCAGGAATTGCAACAAATTCAAAGCAGAATGAATTCAAAGCATTTTGTATTCAGACATCTCATAGTAAAATTCAGAATACCAATGACAAAGGGAAGACAACTCAGAGGGGAAAGATGGTCCATTCTACACAAGAATGACAGTTAAGTTGGTAGATTTCTGAACAGCAGCAGCTGAAATCAGAAGACAATGAAACTAAGACTTCAAGATATTTCCAGAAAATAACTAAGCCCAGATTTGTTTAACTGATGAAATTATCACTGAAGGATGAATACTAAATAAAGTTATTTCTAGATAAACAAAAACTACGAGTTTGCTGCTAATAGACTATTTCAAATCAGGTGCCTCCCCAACTTGTTTGTTCACACGAAAGGCCTGTCGTGTGGGTGACAGTATAGATTTGGAGGTCTTACCGTACGAGATTCCTGTGCCCACTTAGTTTGGAGCCTGTTATGGGGTGAATGCCCACCTTGGCCTCACAGAGTGCTAGGATTACAGGAGTGAGCCACCATGCCTGGCCTAAAATAATAATTAAAACAAAAAAATCTAAGATAACCACTAAAAGAATAGAAATACAGAGGGTGCCAAAAAAATGTGTATACATTTTAAGAAAGGAAAAAAACTGTACTAAATTTGTAATTCTCAATATATATTGACAGTGTTTGTTATCTTGTATGTTGTTATCTCGTATCTCTTGTGATTGCAGAAGTCAAACATGATGTGAGTGTTACAATTTTAATACGTTTTCTTCCTTTCTTAAAATGTGTATATATATTTTTGGCACTCTCTTTATAAAACTTGCAAGCTAGCTGAGAAAAAAGGGAGTGAACAATAATAGAGCTCTCCTAAGAAAGGAAGAAATGAGAAAAAAAAGAAGGGATAAAAATCACACACACACACAAAACTCAGTGGAAAAAACATACATTTTAGCAATCTCAGTGATTGCAAATAGACAAAATCCTCCAGTTAAAAGACAGACAAGGCTCGGTGCCTGTAGCTCAAGTGGCTAAGGCGCCAGCCACATACACCTAAGCCGGGTTTGAATCCAGCCCTGGCTGCCAAACAATAATGATGGATGCAACCAAAAAATGGCCAGGCATTGTGGCAGCGCCTGTAGTCCCAGCTACTTGGGAGGCGGAGGCAGGAGAATCACTTGAGCTCACAAGTTGGAGGTTGCTATGAGCTGTGATGCCATGACAGTCTACCCAGGGCGACAGCTTGGGGCTCTGTCTCAAAAAAACCCAGACAAAACCCCAAATCCAGCTATACGCTATTGCAAGTGACACATGTAAAGCTAAAGGAACCAAAGTTTCAAAGAAAAAGAATGAAAAAATACATTAAGCAAATGCTAATGAATGCCTGGTACTCATGCCAGACAAAAAGAATTTAAAACAGAAAAGCAGAAAGACTTGTTAAGACAGGAAGGGTCACAACGTATTTATATTTAGTAGAAGATACATTAATTTTGTATGTGTATCTAAATATAAAAGTTTATTACATTTAAGAAACTAATTTTATAATTTATATGTAAATTTGTATTCACCATAGTAATAAAGCCTTGAGTAGGTAATTAAAGATGACATAACTACAAGGGATAGATGACTCTTTAGAGCCAGATTTTAACACATACGTTTTAATAATTGAAAGATCAAGAGAAAAAAAAAGCAAATCTACAGAAGACTGATTGATCTGATGGGTATGTACATAACATTTTCCTATAGCAGTTAGTGACTGGGTGCCCTCCACAAACACACGTGGATTATTTATTGACATGCATTATCTCTAAAGCAACCCTCAGAAAATACCAAGCGATCAACCCTGGTTCCCGATGACAATGCAGTTGGCACCAGCCCCATATGCCGGAGGTGGCGGTTTCAAACTCAAAAACTGCAACAATAACAACAACAACAACAACAAAGTAACTAAAAGCTCACATACATATGGAAATTTTAAAAAATGTCTTAACTCTTGAGTCAATGGGAAAGAAATCAGCATGGAAAGGGGAAAATACTTCAGAATCAACAACAAAAAGCAGCCCACATATGTGGGTCACTACAAAAGTTTTGAGACAGGCTGTGTATATGGTTCACTATTTTACTTCCAAGAAACACGGGGTGAGGAGGGGCCGACAGCTTCCTTTCTGAGTCACCTGCGCAAGTTTCAACTTGCTCAGTTTATTGGTGCTGCAGGGAGGGCTTTGTTTCCCCACACAGATTTTACATTTCTCGATTTTTGTGTACCTCAAAACTTTTGTAATGACAAAGTCATTACAAGCTCAGTCAGGGCTGAGGCCGAGGTTGGCTGTGGGAGGTAGCTAGCACAGGACGGTGTGGTCCTGGAGGGGTCCAGCAGCGGGAGAGCTGAGTACTGGGAGGATGAGACACACTTCTCTGGGTCCAAGGCACCTCAAGGGCGACGAGGTAGGCTGGGCAGGGAGGGTCTCTCCTGCCTGGTGGGCTCAGGCCTTTTGGGGCTACCCAGAAGGGAGAAAGGGCCCTTTATATCCCACAGCTAAAGGTTTGTTGGGGTCAGCCCTGCTTAACTGAGAGCCTCAAACCCAAGCGATTAATGCCCAGACAGCCCCGAACAGAGTCTCCCCAGGATGACTGAGCCTCTCCCACCCTCCTGCCCACAGCCCACGCAATTGGCGGTGCCCATCTATCCTGGCAGGAGACCCCAGGCGAGCCCGGACAGGGTAGCCTGCCACATCCCCAGAAGCAGCCTTGCCCTGTGACAGAGGGGTGGTCCCACTGCAGTACAGAACCAGCCGCGAGAGAAAGTCCTGGCATCCGAGGCTGTGGCGCCTGCTGCTGAGAGCCAGGCCCGAGGTGAGAGCCTCTGCGGCAGGGGCTGCGCGCGGCGGGAGCGCTCCGACGTGCACACGCCCACCAGGGCTCAGAGGGACCAGGGCTGTGCCCAGGGACAGGGGAGGGGCAGCTGGACGTGGACCAAGTTGGCTTGGTCTGAGTGGCCCCAGCCTGAGCCGGGAGTAGTTCCGCCTCCTCCACATTGGCCTTATGGGACAGAGGGAGGGCGGGCGTAGGGGAGGTGTTCCTGGGACAGCCCGGTTGCACCTCCATTTCGGTGGGACCCCAGCCTTGCCTCCTCCTATCGTCCTTCCAGGGCAGGTCCCAGTGACCGAGGCTCACGGTCACAGGGAACGAGAACCCTGGCAGGTCCTCGGGACAGGATGGCAGCGGCCAGGTGAGCCCAGCCCGGCGGAGGGCCTGGGCGGGGGCCTGGTAAGAGCAGGGACCGGGCAGAACCGCTGAAACAGCTGCGCGCCCGCCGGGGCCGGGCAGAGCTTTCGGGAAGGGGACGCCGGTCCCTGTAGGTCAGCATCCCCGGCGGCCCCTGTGAGTGGGCAGCGTGGGCGGGAGCCCCCGCGCCCAGTGCAGACCCTCCTGCCGGCGTGACCAGGCTGCAGGAACCGGGGCCGACTCGGGAGGCGTCAGCAGCGGGCGCGGTCTGGGTGCGGGGCCCTCACTCACCTCTGCTGGTGGCGTAGAGGACACCCAGGGCCGCCAGGGCACCGGTCAGCAGCAACAGCAGCATCAGCAGCATCCCCACCAGGAAGCCTGGGCGCTTCTGGCCAGCCCTGCCCGCGCTCTCCGCCATCCCCACTGGGCTTTCCAGCTTCCCCATCAACAGCTCTGCATAGGAGAGCGCAGGGCTGAGCGCCCGGGGCAGAGGCGAGTCCTGGAGCTCCCGAAACCCGCCCCAGGCTGGAAGGGCCAGAGCTGACTAGGAGCAGGCGCTGGGTGCTTTAGAGACTCCAAGTCCCGGTCCCTCTCTCCCGGCCCACAACCCTGCTGCTGGGCACCTGGGTCTCAGGGCTGTGGACACTACCCTTGCTGGAGTCTTGGAGTGCCTTGAGGTCCCGTGTGTTGGGAGAAGGCCTGGCTGTCCAGGCGTGGTGACAGTCTCTTCCAGAGATTCACCTCTCTCCAAGCCCCCCTCTCTAGCAGGCCCCCTTCTGGGGGTTGTGCGCTAGACCCACCAGGCTCAGTTTCCGTGCTGTCCAGGGGCACCCCCAGTGGCGCCTGCCTCTGTGCTGGTGCCCAGGGAGCCTGGAGCTGTGGGCCTAGGTGCTGGGTCAGGAACACTGTTGGGGAGGCCGCTGAGGCACCTTGCCCACTTTCCTGTTGGAGCCCAGTAGCTGGAGAGGGGGAAACAGAAATGACTGGCACCCACACAAATAGTGACCATGTCAGTCTCCAGGCTGAGCCCCGAAGCCACTTGGTTGGTATGCAGCTGTGTAGTCCCTGCTCCTGTGGGCAGGACAGGGAGCTGGGCAGGAAGGACTGCAAACAAGGACTCTGAAGGCTCCAGGAGCTGTGTGTGCTCCTGTTTGTATGTGAATGCACACATGTATAAGTGTGAGCATGTGAATGTGTCATGTGTGAGAGTGTGCACGTCAGTGTGCACAGAGGTGAGAGTATGTGGCCATGTGCATGTGTATAATGGGAGTGTGCATGGGTGGCTGTGTGTGCAGTGTGCCTCCATGTGCATGTGTGTGGCTGCATGTGCAGTGTGCCTCCGTGTGCATGTGTGTGGCTGCATGTGCAGTGTACTTCTGTGTGCATCTGTGTGGCTACGTGTGCAGTGTGCTTCTGTGTGCATGCGTGTGGCTGCATGTGCAGTGTGCTTCCATGTGCATGCATGTGCAGTGTGCCTCCGTGTGCATG